GTGTTGAAACGATATCTGTTCCCCTTCAAGTTTCACTGTTTGTACTTTGAGTAATACTTACTTAGGGCGCAAATATTGTGAATATATTACTGAACATCACAAATGGCTCATTCAAGTGAACACTACATTGGAATTCTAACGTGAATATTCGCAATGAGAATCATTTCAAGAAGTCCAGTGAATATAAGAGAAAACCAAATAATAATAAATAAGCAACTAACCTTATTGTACAACGTCCTCGATTCGTAGCAAAAATAACAATAGGACTGAGAGTGCTTTCGAGTGCTCGATGCAAGTAGGTGAAACATTCTAAATCGAGCAGATGAACTTCGTCGATGAACAACACACCAGGCAGTAACTCTGCTATGCCCTTCAAGTTCATCATCATTAACATCAATATCATTGCTTTAATCGCTATCTTTACACAACTCTCAGTGCTTAAAACAACTTTTGCTGCTCAACTAGCTATCAGAACATCATTGAGAGATTGCATTCTCTTCAAATATTCCATATTTTATCAATTGCTAACAAATATAAAAGCATTTTGAAGTACTCTCTCAATCTCAAGTATGAAGTAAATATTCACTATTCACGAATTGCCAATTACCACAGAAATGAATCAAGAAATGAGACGAAATAAAATCGAACCTGATCAATATAATCATTAACAACTGTATTAANGAGCATTTGCTACATCCAAATCGTGCAATGTCACGTCCTTCAATTATTATTGCAATCACAATCCAATAAATTTTACATACGCCAATAAAACGCTAACAAAATGATGTTCATCGATTAAAAAAAAACAAATCAATCACCAATCGTACCTGCACAACTTCCTTCGATTTGTGTACGTCGCCCTTCGGTAACGGTACAAATTCGTCAGCTTCTAAATCGAATTCTGTTGCGTACACATCACAACGACCCAATCTCTAAACAATTTTTATTAGGATAGCAACGAGCGTAACGTCGACATTAACACTACTTTGTACACACCACAGCGACCAATCTCTAAACAGTAATACACTATTAATGATAATAAATTTCCTGTTCCAAGGAATTTATTCACTACTCAGGTTAAAAAACCCAATGAAGCTTCCTCCATTTCTGCTGAACTGAAACTAGTGACAAGACTTGTCTTTGAAAAAGAATCAACGTGGAAAAGTGATCAAGAGAAATGAATACAGAAGCTGATATCAATGAACCAACTCATTCACCTTAACAGCGCCGGAACTTGCTTCAATTTGAATAACATCGCCGATTTCAACTTTTTGTTTCAGAATACTATCATAAATTGTTGGATCCAATTTTAACTGTTTACTTCCACGTACTGTTTTTAAACTGACCACAACATGTGAAATTGTCTGCAATTATAAAATTACTCTACTTGGTTTAAGCTGGTTTTAAGAAGGAATTCCTCAGAGTCATATTTTTAAACGAATACACTTCAATAAATAAAATTTTATACATTTTCATATGTGATATTAGAACAACCGAATTCAAAATTAGACGAAGGGTCGTTCATTTTAAATGGCATTATCGTCATTCTGAATTCAAAGAGGAATACTAATGTGTCCTAGAACGTTTGTTTTTGCTCCATCACGATTTTCCACAGAAAGCTAATTCGATCTTTATCACGAGTCAATGTGATTCAATCGCATTCAATCGATAAGGATTGATGTCGGATAGACAATAATATGTGTGAAACTATTAATGACTTATTTCTATTGATTATATTCAACTGATCGTTACCAAATCAAATATTCAAAAAATCAAATTCATAAAATTGTCTGGACCTTCAAAATAAATTTACCTTTCCGTATCCACCACTACTGCTATTATCTGATTCAAGTGGCGTCAATTC